AAAAAGTAGGTTTTGGTAGGTTAAGGTACAATCCTAAATCCCGAAACCTTCGAGGTGATCCGATCTGAATCAAGATCCTTTGCTCTTTCGCTCAGGAAAGTCCAAGCTGACAGCGGATTTGACAACTAGCGAGGCCCATGATTCGGGTTTTGTTACCTTTGGTTAGTAGGGAATGGAGGAATGGGGTACAAGTATAACTAAGATTACTACCAGTCTTCCATTCCCTACTAACCAAAGGTAAGGTTTTTTTGGGGATAATCCTGAGCTATGGCATTTCAGATTTTCTTACAGCATAATCATTAATCGGCGAGGCGTGGTGTAGACATGAGGACAATGTGATCCCTTGTTTAGGTTTCTGCAATTGGGTTGCTTAGGGATTTGCCAGGCGAGGGGTTCTTTCAAGACGTCCCGTCGAAACTTCCTGCCGATTGCATTACCTCGCTCCTACGACCCTCACCCATAAACTTAAACATCCACAAATGCTAAACTTCTAAATCTTGCCTACCTTGCCGTGCGGCGAAAAGCCTGGACAGCTTCGGCATGCCACTAGCATGCCCACTTACGGATCAGGGTCTCTCTATGCAGCTGCGTCCCCTACCAACGCGCTCTACACCCCAAATCCTTTGTGAAACATGGCCTACGCATCGTTTTGCCGTATGCCGCGTGCTGTGGAGTAGTATGAAACTGTTGTTAGCTTGCCAAGGAGTGTAGATCCCTCACCGCAGGAACATCGAGCGTCAAACTTTAATACAACCTACGAGACTAAACCCTAAACCCGAGACGTCTCTAAACCCTATAGACCCTAAACCCTCACCCTAATCCGTTAAAGCCGATCTGGGGCACAATTTGGTTTTCGGGTGTTCGGGCAAAAACTTATGACGTAAGATGTAGGTTTATAGGTTTAGTGGCTATGGGTGTTCAATAGTTTGGAGTTTAGTGTTTTGCGGTTTAAGCAGCTTAGGGCTCAGTGTTTCGGAATACTAACAATGCTGTTGCCGTGACTGTTTGCCGCCACCTGCTACGTAAAGCAGAGTGGTACACACACACACACACACAGATGGAGATGTCCAATTGTGATGCGGCAGGTGGACAAGCGGATCGATGTCTCCAAAGTCGAGATAGCCAGCCGGCATATGTTGGTTTCAGGGCTTAGGAGATCAGGGATTAGGGGTGATTAGGGCCGCCATACGTATTCATGCTCTTCTCCTTAGAGCCCTACCGCAACTTAACGCCTGAACGCCAAAAACAGCCCCAAAGACTGACTGAACCTTGAACCCAACCCCAAACCCGTAGCTTAAGCCCTAGATTGCCACTAAATCCTGCCTGAACAGAAAGCCAACAACCACGGAAACCTCAGATAACACGTGTGCGTCACTTGAAGGACCTCTTAATTGAAGTAAGCCACCCGCAATCCCGAGCCCTAACAGCGACTAAGAGGCACTTCTCATAAACTTTAGCATCGAGCCTTTTCTATTCTAGCAGTTAGAGGGGCGAAGTCTTGGGTTCCTGTGCTTGGCGGCGTGGAGGGGCATTGAGGAAAGCGTTTGTTTCCTCCGCATCTGTTGAGAGGGTTTCGGGTTTGGGGTTCAGTGTATAGAGGCCATTTAGGGGAGTGTCTTTAGGAAGCTTCTTCCGGACGCGTTCCCACTACTATTTTGCTGTGAGCATCGTTTTTCTGTGCTTGTTTACATCATGTCATTCTGACCATTGGTGTCCGTTCTTGCTGACGGCATACCACAGAGCCAGCAACCTGCGGGTGTCCAGTTCTTCCGAGTTTTACTGCTCGGGGTCCGCGGGCCAACCAGGCCTCCAGACGTCAAGGGCTTGCAGTTTATGATGCTTAGGGTTTACCGTGGCAGTGTCTCGCTCTATGCAGTCACCCGAGACTTGCTTTTGGGTTGAGGATTTAGGCTTGTGACAGCGCCGTTGCGGGGACGCCGCCTCAGGACCGGTGATCCTGGCACGGCGAACTGCCGTAACCAAGCCCGGTGAGTGGTCAGGGAGGTCGGAGGAAGCCTTGCGCAGACCGTTCACGCGCTCCGGAACGTCAGTAGGGATTGTTCAACCATTAGTACTCTTCCTCAGTCAATCTGACCTTTATAAACCGACGCTCAACCTTCAACCCGCAACACCCCTCAACCCCAAACGCCGAAACCCGACACCCGAAACAGCCTGAACTCTACACCTGACCATCAACCCTAAAGAATCGCATTCCTCAGGGCGCCCTGCTGTCATTATGGCATGACATACCCCAACCCGCTATTCTAGTTGCAAGAGCCCTTCGGTTAGGAACTGGGCATCCAGGGTGTGGGGATGATATCATCAGGCTTGTACACGGGCTGGCTTGGTCGTCTAGAAAGGTCTTTAATTGTTCTCTGAAGACTCCATAAGGGTATTATCAGGCTTGTGCGAGGGATTCATTCAGCGTTCCAGAAGGGTTCTGGAAGCATTTCGACATCGCAAGAGGGTTCAGCAAAGTTCTACATGTGTTCCCGAAGAGATTGCAAAACCATGAGACCTAGAACCTTCGACCAGGCCTTTCTGAAAGCCTTAATCCCCAATACTGACATGCTTAGCCCTAATCAGCCCCGCAAATATTGAACCCGGATAGGCCTCTTTGTATAACCCTTATCGACCCTTTCGTAGAACCCTTGATAAAACCGTGTAGAACCCTTTACAGAACCATTGTAGAATAGTTTCTCGGAACCCTTGCAGAATCCTATAGGTTCTTTTTGGTCGAACCCTCATGGAGGTCCGTACGGAACCTTGAGCCCCCCAAGCGATCCTTAGTGCTTGTTTTCGGAGCCCGGGGCTCTCAGATGTTTCACAGCCACACGAGCTACAGTTAAGTGCTATTCTAAGAAGGGCTCTTCTTTTGCAATGGGCTTATAAGGGTTCGATTATAGGATCTGGGGTTTAGGGTTTAAGGCATTTGGATTCTATACAAGCGAAGTACGTACTTGTTAAGCCATGTGGATCATATAGTGGCAGCTATTAGGGTCCTTGCTAGGGTAGCTCATGTGTGAGTTCTTCAAGATATGTAGGATCCCTTCATGTTTTGGGGGGTTTTGGGTGGTAAAGGTTTCAGGGGATGTTGAGCCTGTATTTGTTGAAAGCATTGACTCTGAACCTTGCACGCGAACTGTATGAGAGTACCAAGCCCGTGTTACACCCTTCAATGTCGGGAGAGGTGCTTAGGCTTGTCAGCTAAAGCATCAGAGCCCCCAAAGCTTCCAAACCCCCTTTGAAAAAGAACCGACCCCCGAAAGCCCATAGCGAAAACTCGAAACTCTATAAGCTTAAATCCTGAAGCCTCTTAGGAGGAGGTCCTCGACGTAGCTCGTGTGACTCGACAGAATTTGGGCAAGAATGGATGTGGTGCCACGAGGGGTTGCCTTTCAAGTGGCTAGTTCCCTTCATGCCTGGGGGTCGTCGTTTCGGGAAGGACGTGTTCTCGTAGTGATGCCGAAGGAAACCTATGTGGGGAATATTTATGTAGCTGTTTGGGTCTACACTCAATGTTAGCACTAGGGTCGCGGCATAGGGGTTGAAGCTCACAGCTTGGAAATGCGAAAAAGGGAGTCGCAAGCCCGAGCCCAACAGTCGTCAAACCCGAGTCTGTTTGAGTAGCAGAAATACCCGAGACGCCATCCCTGCAGGATTGCAACCTATGGCACAGAGCCTCTAGCATGCTGTTTTGTATTGTGTCCTTCTCACGACGATGCCGGGCCTTGTGCGGAGTCAATAGACACTGCCCGCCACTACCCTCAGCTCCTAAGCCTACACCCCAAGCCCCAAACCCTAAGCCCTGAGCCTCAAACGTTAAACCCTGCCATCGCATCCTTTGCTCGATCCGACATTGAATTCGTCGCTGCAGAACTGCACAAAAGAGACTGTGCCTTTTTGGGGTCGAGTTCCTGGTGGTTGTAGGAGTCGCAGTTTCAGTGGTCGTCAGAAGTCTGCGCCGCCGTGAAGTCTGGGCGTCCACGGCGTATTTTCGGTTCCCTGAGTCTTCAATGATTTAGGGTTAGGGGGGTTTAGGGTCAAATTAGCTGTAGGTTTCGTGGTCAAGGAGCCCATAGAACAGAACAGTCTTATCCATGTAGTTGCGCAGGTGAACGTGTAGGGTAGGGAGAGCGTCGCAGGGTGAAACTTCACAAGTCATCAGTACGATTCCTATACTTGGGACAACACCCAATTAATTGCTAATAACCCCTAAACCCTAAACCTAAACCCTAAACCCCTAAACCCTTAAACCCCTAAACCCTTAAACCCCTAAACCCCAAACCCCCAAACCCCTGAAATCCTGAACCCTAAACCCCTAAACCCCTAACCCCCAAGCCCCTAAACCCTGAAACCCTAAACCCTAAAACCCTCAACCCCTTCACATTCCTGTCGAAGACTTGGAGCTGAAACTTCACTGATGGAGACTTCCCCTGCGTCCAGACATCTTATGCCCCTAGGCGGGCCTCAAGCCGCGGGGACAGGGTTTAGGGTTTAGGGGTTTAGGGTTTGGGGAGATGGTGACCTCCAATGCAGAGGCCTGAGTTTTTGATGGTCAAGCTGTTTGTCTTCCTTGCTCTCATGATTGAAATGCGAAAATGATCTATAACATGGTCCCACGCCCTTATGAACCTTAAAATCCGGGCTGACAACCCTGAAACGCAACGCGTTTTTGGAAACCCTGAACCTCAAACCTTAAATGTGCCTCACAAACCTGAGACCGGAAACCCAACAGTCCCTAAACTCATTATAACTCTCCCTCGACCTAGATCCCCCAACGACCCTATAATATAGCCTAAAATACCCCAAATACCCACTATTAAGGGCCATAAGGACTCTATGAAAGGGCCCCAGGGGGGGGTCTTGGAAGTCCTAAGCCCTGAACCCAAAGACTTCGATCGCCCGCCGCTGCCTGTTTTGCGGTCGGATTTCCAGCCGCGCCCCACGTGGGGCGCTTCCCAGGCTGCGGGCCAGGCGCTCAAAGGTTAGGGTTTAGCCTCGGGCGTATGGCGTGTGGGGTTCAAGGCTTAGGGCTTGCGCTTTAGGGGTTTGGTGCTTAGTTCAGGGTCGAGGTTGCAGGGTTTTGGGTTTCGTTTTTTTTTTTTTCGGGTTTTAAGCTGCCGGTGGAGTTTGAAAGCCCTAGACGCCAAGTCCCGGTATCGCGGAGCACGTGGAGTTTGGGAACCAGTGTCGTCCCATGTCCTCCTTCAGAGCCTCATCATACTTCATAATTGCTCGGCGAAAGTTGTTGATGTCGCCTCTGCATTGACCTACACTTGGTGCCCTGCAGAACATCAACCCACAAAACCATAAAGTCCGTACTGCTATTGCGCGTTAACATATAGCCTCTGCTGGACTTGAAGGCACTGCAATGTCGACAAATACAGCGCACGTGGACAAGAATCCCAACGACGAGTTTTTTGTTGACATTGTCCTTCGGTGTAGCCCGGCAGATCCTCTACAGTAACTGCTTGTTGAAATCTAGCTACTGACAAATTCCCCCTTCCGGGGGGGACCCGTGATCAAGAGGTTGGGAGACCTCGAAGTGATTGGTTGTCTTGCTGAAACTGATAGGGGTGCTTTCTTCTTTTCTGTTGTCATACAGCTTTCGACGCTGACAATACAAAGAAGCCCCAAACCCTAAACCCCGTGCCTCTAAACCCAAAGCTCGAAACTCAGGTTCAATGAAGAAGTGACAGCGCCCGGCGCCAAGCCTCCCAGCTTTGGTTTACGGGCTTTGGGTTTCGGAGGTGGGTTTGGAGGTTGAGACAATGAAGGTGTATCATATATGTGCTATGTAACATGCATCTGCGGGGTGTGTGCATAAGCATCATCAAACACATGCAGTTACACATACTGTTGTAAGTGCATATATTATGTGTGTATATATATATACACATTATGTGAGTATGTTTTCTGTATATGTATTTGTAATTGTGTTTATGTACAGGTATGGGTATAGGTATATGTAGGTATGTGTGTATATGTATGTGTATGTGTACATGTAAATGTATATGTATATGTCTGTATCTCTCTCTCTCTCTGCATGGTTTGTGCTGGTTCGTCGTGGCCTGTCTGTGCCGGCCATCCACCAGGATGGTTCGCAGGAAACACGGATCAGCCACTGCTGCCCGACTCCCGCACCTACAAATCCCAGGTTTGAGTAGATCTTTCAGAGGTTTTTGGACCTTCAAGCCAAAATTGCAAGCTCGAAAGCTTGCACCGCACAGAGCTTAAGGCGTATATCGCCGAGCCCTATAAAACCCTCCAAAGTCCACACCTTATGGATCCATACAAACCTCCGTGGTCTTTAAACCCTTCGAAAAAGCCCGAGCTTTCGAAAGGCCCGGTCACTGATGGCGCTGCTGAGGGTGGCGCTGGTCGGTGTTGGGCCGGCCTCCTTTGAAGGGCTGCTGTTTTTAGTTTAGGGCCGCGCAGAGGAGTATTCCAGGGCCATCAGCGATCTTTGTGGCTAGGGGGACATGTTCTCCTTGGTGCTTCGTAGGGAATGGGGGAATGGATCCCTATAGTAGCGCCTATCCCCCAATGCCCCTAAACCCTAGACCTTCGAAAACCCTACACCCGAAACTCCGAAACCCTAAATCCCAACCCCCCAGATGCTCTTGGCATCCTTGTCGCAGCCACGTGGCTCTTGGAGAAGCCAGACTCTGGGACGACCGCGGCTCGCCGCTGGCGTGCACTTCATCTTGTGGCGAGCCGCTTCTTGGGGGGTTCCGAGTCTAGGGTGTGAGGTTTACGGTTTAGGGATGTTTAAGGTTTCGGGATCATGTCTTGGGATATTGTGTTTGGGTTCATGCTGGCTTGTTTGCAAAAGCCTCAGGGTTTAAAGCTTGAGTTTGCAACCTCAACCAATGAAGTCGGAGTTGTCGGTTCTGGAATCGATTTCAGGGTTTAGGACCCAAAACGCTGTACCATACCCCAAACAAACATTGAATACCAAAGCAAAACACCGAAGCTTCTTGTGCGGTTGGTTGAGGGAATCCGAGGCATTCGGCTCGAAAGTTTTGTCCATGGCCTTGGGGCTTAAGGGTTCGGCTTCGGTTCGTGGGGCTGTGAGGCTTGTGGATTCGAGCTAAAGGTCCCGTGTAACGAAGCCGCTTGCGAACACCAATGGTGCTCCTGCCGTTTCTGCGACCGCGACTGCGACTACAACGACGACTACTACAACTGCAACTATCACTGCCACTGCCACTGCCACTGCCACTGCTACTGCTACAACAACTACAATAACTACTACAACAACCACCACTACTACTACTACGACGACGACTACTGCTACTACCACTATACCACTACCACTGCCACTACCACTACCACTACGACGACTACTACTACTGCTGCTGCTGCTACTACTACTACAACAACAACAACAACTACTACTACTACTACTACTAGTCCTCGCTTCTGAACTGCAAGGTCGAGATGTGGCGGTTGCTGCGCTGTAAACCTGCACTCCCGCTGGCAGCCGTGCCGCTTGCGCTAGCCGTGCGAAAGAAGGAGCGTCTGCTGTTTTGCTCCCCAGTATCTTAGCAATGCCAAGTCTCTGACTCGATGCCCATTGCAGTGAATAGGAGTTCTGTCTGCTACAAAAGCCGTCGTTTGGCGCAGCGGTGGATGATGGTCAACTGAAGACCTTCCACTCCTAACCGGGGGAAGCTTCTTTGGAATTTGGGGAAGCGGTAGGCTTCAAGTTTTCTTGGGTCACCTGTGGTGCCTTCAGGCGAAGGTGTAAAGAGTGTTGCCGCCGTCTGTCCTACTCCTGTAGCCCTCATACATCAAACTAGTAGCAGACCATGGAATTGCACAGCGTACAGGCACGCATACATGTGCACGCATACGCATGGATAAAGTACGAACATTCGCACGAATGTCGTCACGTGCGTACATATGCATGCGTGCATGTATACAGGGATAGTTACGGACATTCAGGACTACATGCATGCGTATGTATGTGCACACATGCTAGTGCGGGCATGTCTTCTTACAGAACTCGCAAGTGTTCGTACACACACCGGCATGCACACGTGTGCACATGCTTTCTTACATGTATGCAGATGCACATCAACACAATCAGATTTATACACCTAGGTACCTATAATTTACCTACATATTCACCTACCTACCTATCCGCCTTGGCATATCTACCCATCGACTCTTTGTTTATCTATCAACCTATCTAGCGGTCTATCTTTCTATCTGTCTGTCTGTCTATCTACCTATCTACCTACCTAACAATCTATCTATCTATGTGTTTTTCTATCTATCTAACCACACCGAGTCTAACCGAATCTAACCTACTGTATTCTTATCCTCTCTGATCGCGTCTAGTGTAATCTGACCCGATCTTGTCAAGCCTATCCTACCGATCCAGCTATCTATTCATCTATCCGTCTATCTATCTATGTACTTTTTTGGCTTTCTGTCAGTCTATCTACCTGCCTTCCGGCCTACCTAGCTATCTTTGCGTCCATACATACATGGACAGAAGCACACACACACAGAGATATGTGTATATATGTATGTACATATGTATACATACAGACCTATATACTATACACACATGTATTCGAATGCATCGGATTGACAGAAGTTTGACCTTCTGGCCTTTTCTTGCCTTAAGACGTCTTGCGGAGTAGCGGAGTATCGAATTACGCGGTCGGGCCAGCGGAGTTTTACCCCGTTTTGAAATTTGCACTATACACTACTTTAATTCTTTGATGTTCCGCAGAGCAGCCGGTTGTTTGTCGGAATTCGATGGGGAATGGGGGCCTGTGTTCGAAGAAGCAAGGTCAAACTTTCGTGCTACCGCAGTGTGTATATGTATATATATGTATATATATATATATATTATATGTGTACATGTGCACATGTAGATATGGATATAGTTGTGGATATATATATATATATACATAGAGAAACATAAATTTGAACATATACATATATATATATATATATATACGCATAATTTATACATATACACACTCATGTAGACATAGATGCTGATATGTTTGCATCTATGCACATATGCAGATGCTTGCCTTCCTGTCCAGGCACAAGACGTGGTGACTGGGTCAATCCCCCCAAACCTCACCTAACCCTCACCCCCTGCAGAAGCAGAAAGACATCGCCCCAAAGGGTTAGTGTAAGGGCTCCTATCAGGGTTACCTAAACCCTGAACCCTAAACCCTAAAGGGCGTATAGACCCCCGGAGGATGGCCAGCGATCGTACCAGCGGTGTCAGGAGAGCCTGAAGCGTCCGAGTTCAGCCTCCACCTATAGTCTCCATTGTAGTTCCTTTTTTGGTTTAACCAGTTGAATATTGAGGATCCTATGAGGCAACCCAAAAAAGGAACTACAAAGGAGACTATAGATAAAGTCCTGAAGGGTTGGTGCGAGGGCATCTATACAGGGTTCTACTAGTGTCCCGTGAGGGTTGTGTAGGGTTTCAACCAGGGGGGTCTAGAGTTTGGGGTTTCTGAGCTCATGGGAGGTTCCCAGGGAGCCCAATACCCCTTAATTAAGGAATATGGCTTAAATTATATAGGGCTTCATATTATGATTTAAGTTCGGTTCTGGGAATGGCAAATCTCAGATCGTATCTCGGGTACTGGGCCTGAGCAGTGCCGCAGGTGTTGGGCCCGAATGTATCTGCATGTCTGGGAGTGTCCCGAAAATCTCTGAATGCCTGGGCCCTAAACAGTAGGCCTTAGAAACTAAACCTGCTCTTAAAGCACATTAAGCCCCTCAACCTCTTGAGCCCTAAACCCCAAACCCCAGTAAGCCTTCTAGGTCCCTTAAACCCTAAACCCTTCAATCCCACCCCAAACGCTTACAAGAGCTCCAAAAAGCGAGCCCTCCACCTATATAGTATATGCTTTGGGCCCGATGTACCTATACAGGGAGTACTTTAAGGCCAAAGTATATACTATTCGGGTACTGGAATCCGTGAGGAGCAGGCTTCCCCGCAGTTCAAGCGCGTCCTCGTGACAGGAGGGGCCGGCTTCCTAGGCGCCCGCACGGGAGCGAGATTTGCAATATGGGAGTTTCCGAAAACAGGGGGCCCTAATATAGTAGCCTAAATAGTAGGATCCTTATTACAAGGACCCCGAAATAAGGTACCCCTAATTTTCGGAAACCCCCATATCGGGGCTTGAAGGTTTCTGGCCCTAAGTCGCGGCCGACTCCGAGCAACCCTAAAACGCTGCGCCCAAACCTGAACTGTCTGGTTCTTAGTAGGGAATGTATTCCCCCGCTCCCTACTAAGAACCAAACAGTGAACCGTAAACCCCAGCTCAAAACAGAAACCGAAGCCCCAAGCTCTAAACTCGGCGATCCTGCCCGAAACCCCAAACTCCTGAACCTTGAACCTTAAACCCTATAGTATAGTACCCTTACAGTAACCTTTACAGATCCCTTAAAGGAGCCCTAGACTCCCCCAAGACCGTGAGCTCCAGGCTCGCACATCTGCCGGCGCCTGCTGGCCGAGGGCCACGAGGTCATGTGCATGGACAACTACTTCACCTCCACTCGATCAGGCAGGACTTCCCCGGGGGGTGTAGGGTTTATGGGGTAACTTATGGGGTTTATAGGGTTTGTAGGATTTACAGGGCTTATAGGGTTTTTAAGTTTGTCATAGGGTTTAACTATGGTTTAGGGTTCTAGGTGCTGTTATGTGGGATACTTCCCCAACAGCTCTGGGAGTCCACTGGATCAGGCAGGACTTTCAATCAGTGAAGTCGGGCTGTAAGATCGAAGGTCTGAGAGTCTGGGGGTATGAGGGGCTTTAGGAAGACTGAGACCAAGACCAAGACTAAGATAAATATTACGGTACAGTATGTTCTGTGTGCGCCTACCCAAGAAGACAATTTAGCTGCTTGAGGGTTTCGGATGGCTGCTGGAGCTGCTGTAGCTACCTGTCACCTGTTTGCCTTTTGGGGTCCTTTTTCTGAAGAGCCGAGATAAGACTCCGCCCTTCAGGGCATGCCCGTTGCCAAAGGCATTCATTGCTTGATTATCGGGCGAGTCTGCACCTAAACCCTATATGCCCTTACCAGGGTTTCGGAACCTAAACCCTAAACCTGTGACTAGTTGAATGCGGCTTGGAGCATGGGCCGCGCCGGTCACACCCTAAACCTCCGCGCCTCTAAAACCCGAACCTTTCTAAGCCCTAGACCCCGAAACCCCTAAAGCCGTAATCCGCTTCGAAGACTTCAGAAGCCCCGGAGCTCAAAAACCCTGCATTGTGCCTCTGGGCCCGAATTGCAGCTTCAATCCGCTGACATGAACTAGGATGCCCAGTAGTACCCTTGTTGCCTTTTTGTGGTCCTAGGTTCCTCATAAAGCTACCGGCCCAATACCAAACAGG